ATTTATAAAATTCTAAAGGGAGCTTATGGATTGATAATTTAGTCTTAGATGCAAGATTTTTTTAACAGTTGTTAGTGGCTTTGAACTAGCTGTCAGTAACTGCGAGAACTCTCAGATCTGTACTTGGTGTCTTTTTGTTGTTTGGATGTACAACTACCCGGCCACGTCCACTTGTATTTGTATATATCAATCTGATGAGTTAAGCCCTTTTCAACTGATTTTTATAGTTCGTTCTTATATTGTACTGTTACACCACTGTCCCAGGTTAGGGGGAGGGTTGGGATCCCGCTAACATGTTTAACCCTACCACATACTGTATGTACATGTATGTGCCTGTCCCAAGTCAGGAGCCTGTAATTCAGTGGTTGTCGTTTGTTTATGTGTTGCATATTTGTTATTCGTTCATTTTTTGTACATAAATTAGGCCGTTAGTTTTCTTGTTTGAATTGTTTTACATTGTCATTTCAGGGCCTTTTATAGCTGACTGTTCGGTATGGGCTTTGCTCATTGTTGAAGGCCGTACTGTGACCTATAGCTGTTAATTTCTGTGTCATTTGGTCTCTTGTGGAGAGTTGTCTCATTGGCAATCATACCACATCTTCTTTTTTATATTTACATCAACAGATATAAACAATTCACCAAAGTCAAGGTAAGACAACAAAACTTAGTTGTAAGATCTCTGAAATTTTTTACACGGTACGAGTTTTTCTCATTGTTGGAGATTGTACGGTGACAGTAACACCTGTAACTGCTTAAACCCATTTCTTATGCCCTTTGGTTTAATAAACAAACTGAATATCATACCACATCTCCTTATTTTTATATGCATTATAATTTACATGTGCATGTAATTGTAAATATATCTACATGATATATATCAGAACAAAATTCATTGCGTCACTTTTATTTATGCATGCTTTGGCACAATACAAGTTCTAAAATTACACAACATAATACAACTAAATGTTATTTCGGATGAAAGTTTTGTTTCAGTTCCATTCATAGGATTTATTAGAATTTTGTATGTTTTGCCAAGTCCAATAATTCGCTCTACATGTATGTGCATGTGTTAATTGGAGACTTTTCAATCCCGTATAAGAGTTTTGGAACTAATTCTGTTTCTTTTTTTGAAAAAAGTTAGCAAACAAATCTTTGTCTACCATCACACTGTCACCTGGATCACATAATTGAACTATTCTACATCTTTCAACTATTTGACAGTCACTGGTACAACCAACATATGCAACAGAGACATAGTTGATTAAACCACCAGGTGTCAAACATACAAGTATTTTCAGTGTTTCTGTTTTTATATGATGAAAAGGTTGCCTGAGCTCTAGGAGCTTTAGGTTTTTTCACGGAATATTCTGTCAATAATAATCCAAGTTGTAGGAAACTTTAATTTGAAGTTGGATGGCGAAAAATACCTGACTAAACCACTAGATGGCCAAGTGTTAGCCTCACACCACTATTTAGACATAAAACAATCCATGTATTCACAATATTCTTAACACTAGATTCAATCTAGAATCTAGACAGTTCAAAGTTGGTTGTATAACGAATGCCTCAATTTCATCAAAGTCATAAAAAAACTGATTTTCAACTGACACCCTATCAATTTGAAAATATATGTATCTCAAACAATGTGCTGCTGGACCAAGTGTAGTCAAAACAAATAAAAATTTAGTATACAACTCTAAACTGGTATAAAAATGCATGGCTCAGGCTGTGTCACATGTGTTAATTTCAAAATTCTCTGCTGAAAACATAGGCATTGATGGTGTTTGCGTAATTCCATCTGTTAAGCTCAACATTAGCTCGACAGTTGGTGGTGGACAGTCATAAATCCTTTCTGTAGTATGAATGACTTCTTCAGGAAAACCAACTTTACAATCAAAACTTTCCTCGATTTCTACTACAATATTCATCAAGTTTAGTTCTTTTGTTTTCACAGGAAACTGCTCTGATTTTTTTTTTGCGGACGGTTCAGTCTCTTGCTTGGTCCAGGAAAATAGGCTGGGAATAGCAGTAGACTTAAGTCTCTGTATGGTGGGTTTGCACCCTGAAAAAGGTTATAAAACATTAGTTTTTTGATAATTAAATGAACTTCCATTAGCAATGTATACTTTGTACTACCTGGCAAAATATTAACTAGATTTATTCATTACAATCTGGATAAAACTATGCTTGCCTGATTCAATGTATGTTATGTAAATCCAAAGGACAAACAATGAGAGACTTATGCAACAAACGTACAGTGTTTGTATCTAAATAACTATAATATAGATGAGAGCATGTCATTGTATTGTTCCTGTTAACATTGTCATTGATATTTTTCTAGAAAGTCTATGAGGCATAGCTTATGCATTCCTGTCATTACTACATTAGCATAATTACTGCTAAAATAATTCTCAGTATGATATACCTCTTGTAAGAAATCATTATAATTGTAGCAATCACCAAAAAATCTCAAACAGATCACATTGAATCGTAATCAAAGAATTTATGACGTCTTGAATTAACCACCCCCTTTTATTCTAAAACGATAATTGCGGTTGTAAACAGACTTTGGTTTATTCGCATGGCGATTACATATATAACTATATATTTCAAAAAGAAAATAGAGTTTTACCATGAATAGTTTCCTGCACGTAGTCTTTTTCAGTAAAATGTGCCTTGCAAACTTCAGCTGATTGAGAAGGACTCCACGATTTCATCGTGTTCTCGTCCAATATGCGTATGGGCCATGGCGTTGATCCAACTTTTCCTTCTTTTTATGTCATTTTGAAATGCATGTCCTCCTCTTAAATGACATCCAGGTACACAACAACAAGTACTTGGCATCGTTAATTAAAAATGTCACTGTAATAGTTGCAGTGCAGAAACCGGAAATTGAGGAACAGGATAGTCTACCACGGCGCCACCTATTCAGGAACGATAATTTGCTACTTTTTATAACTGCGAAATAACAATATCGTTAGACGTGTTCACGTGCATAAACAGAAATGCGCTTTAAATTGTATAATATAATTCATGTTCAGTCGACCTTTAATTATTATATCAACGACTGAAATGATTTATAAACATCTAGATTGCAGATAACACTGGAAATTAACCCGACCTCTTTCCACACGGAATTCAAATAATTCTAGTTTGTCAATCGGTTGACTGCTTATAATGCAAAATACAAATATATCAAAAGTTTTTAAAACTAACAAAACACAATGATCGTTTCTCTATTTCCCAATGTAAATGAAATGAAACAAAAAACATTTTATATCACAATAAGAAGAGTAGAGAATTCAACATTTCCGGATCTACTTGGAGCCTAATGACCCCCCACGTAGATAAGTTGGATATCGCGGAAGGAAGGATCAACCCGGCAACCAGAAAGGCATTAAAGCGCTTTAAAAACACGTTTTACTTTACATGTACAAGAAACGTATAAATAAATTTCCCCATAAAGTTGATAACCAATAAGATATCAATAATTTGGGAAATTTCCCCAAAAAGATGATGACAAACAACAAATCAATAGAATGGGGAAATTTCCCTAAAACGATGTTAACGAAAAAGAAATCAATAAAATGATAAAATATCCCCAAAATGATGAAAACTAAAAAGAAATCAATAGAATGGTAAAATTTCCCCGAAAAAGACGACAACCAACAAGAAGTCAATCGAATGGGGAAATTTCCCCAAAAAGACGATAACCAACAAGAAGTCAATGGAATGGGGAAATCTCCCCAAAAAGATGATAACCAACAAGAAATCAATAGAATGGGGAAATTTCCCCAAAAAGATGATAACCAACAAGAAGTCAATAGAATGGGGAAATCTCCCCAAGAAGATGATAACCAACAAGAAGTCAATAGAATGGGGAAATTTCCCTACAAAGTTGATAACCAAAAAGAAACCAAAAGTCTGGGGAAATTTCCAAAAAAAGATGATAACGAAAACGAAATCATTAAAATTAATTTCATAACCAAAAATAAATCAATAGACTGGGGAAATTTCCCAAAAAAAGATGTGAACGATACCGAAATCAATAGAATGGGGAAATGTCCTTACACAGTTGATAACCAAATAAAATATTTAGACTAGGGAAATTTCTTTACAAAGATTTTAACCAAATAGTTATCTATAGACTTGGGAATTATTCCCACAGAGATGATAACCAAAATAAGTTCACAGGCTTGAAGAAAATACTCATGCATTGCACAATGATTGCACATTCCGTTGTATACAACAGCGAGAAATATGTCGTCTAACAGATACTGTAAGAATAGAAAAGAGTCACTGTGGTGAAACATTTTCAGCAGCAGATAACACAATTGAAAGGAATTATTGGCTGGGAAACATTCACACTGATAAATTAAACAACAAACATCAGAGATAGAGATGATACAGTATAGGAAACGGGCTAATTTCCTCACAGACTCTTGTTCAACTGTAATCGTGTATATCGGGGCCTTTAATAGGCGACTAAACAGTATGGTTTCCTCATGTTGAAGGCCGTAAGGTTGCCGTTAATTGTTAAAAACCACTTAAAATGATCTTTGAGGAATAGTTGTCTCATTGACAATCATACCCGAGCCCCTTATTTATGAATAGCTATAAATTAACTCGTATGTTTTAATCTGTCGGGGCCTTGGTTGCCGAGTGCTCCAAGTAGTCCAACTACTGTATCACTAACCAGTCAACGCTGAGATTATGAATTCGAATTCCGCTCGTGCAAGGTGCGCTCGACTCTAATCTTAATTGACTAGGCCCATGATTGTCAGTTTTCCTATCGAAGGTTCGTGGTTTTCTTCGGGCAATCCGGCTTCCTCCAGCAATAAAAAATGACCTCCACGAAATAGCACAATAGTGTTGAAAGTGGCGTTAAACACCAACAAATCAATCAATCAATCAATTTAATCTGGTGAATTTCCCAGCCCGTTTGAAAAAAAATACACCCTATGGGAGACCATGAAAAAAATTGACACATTTGAAGTGAGTTTATAATCTTGCAGAATGTGGTTTTAATTTCAACTGTTCAACATTTACAGCAAATATTATAATTCAAACCATACAGATTAAATAGACAATAAGCTCTGTCTTTTTTTTTGTGTCTTTATACAGTAGTAGTAGATCATGCCTTAAGTTGGAGTCTTCTTTTCCTTTCCTGTAAATATATCATGCCTTGAGTAGAAGTTTTCTTTTCCTTTCCTGTAAATATATCTTGCCTTGAGTACACGTCTTCTTTTCCTTTCCTGTAAATGTATCATGCCTTGGGTAGAAGTCATCTTTTTCTTTCCTGTAAAGATATCACGCCTTGGGTAGAAGTCTTCTTTTCCTTTCCTGTAAATAGATAAATCGTTGATACAAAAGATTGCTACATGTACCAGACAGTGTGACGTTACGTTAATATTATAAGGAAGCTTCCATTTCATTTTTAGGGGAGGGAGGACTTGGAATGAAATTTGAAAAAAACGTCAGGACCGAATAGAGGGAAAAACAAAAAGAAAAAGGCAGGACAGAGATTACAATTAAAAAAAAATGCAGGACAATATTTTTCATCCCCCCCCCCTTTTCCCCCAATTAAAGTCAAATGGTAGCTCCCTTACGTAAAAATAAGCCTGCTATATGTATATTGGTTACAGGGTTAACTGCATTGAATGTCTCAATACTTTCTGTTATTGTCATTCTGATGTTGATATCTATAACATGAGAAGATTGTACCTGCATAGGGCAATTTTGATATCATTAAGAAAGAGTACAAGCCCCTTTACAGACATTCTGATATCTGAGTATACAACAAATTTTGAGGAGGTTTGCGCGAACTATAAGCTCAGTTTTAAAATATGTATCATGAGAATCATTCTGTCAACACTGTGTTAATCGGGAAAATTTCAAACTCGATATTTGATTCATAAAAATGAAGACAATACAAACATTTAAAAATAGATGTGAAACCCTGTCTAATTTAGAAAAGATGGAGTTACAGTCTATACAGTAACTTTCTTTCACTTGCAGTATATTTACATATTTGCCAATGTGCGTTTTTGTATTGGTAGCAGAAATGTCCTTAAAACCTAGTAAGTCTATTTCCTCATCAATTGATTACGCTTGAGAATTGGCAATAGTTAGGAATAGTTCACGCTCACGATTTTTTTACGACACTGTATGGTATAATAGCGTTATAGAGTATAGCAATTGTGGTGACGTTACAGTAGAAATTAAATAAGGTCACCAAATTTGTTTTATACGCTAATAAAATGCTCCGCAGGGCGCAGCTTGATACGACCGCAGAGGTCGAACCCTGAACAGTTGGGGGAAGTATGGACACAACATTCAAGCTTGATACAGCTTTGGATTTGGATTGAGATTAAATATTTGACACAGCATAGGTTTCTAACACAGATTGAATGTGGTCTAAGAACTTAAAAATTTTAAATTGGACATTCACCTATTATGGTCCAATATCCAAAATCTAAATACATGGTTAGATTCAGCATATCAAAGAACCCCAAGAATTCAATTTTTGATGAAATCAAACAAAGTTTAATTTTGGACCCTTTTGACCTCAATGTGGACAAAGTTGATAACGGGGCCCAAAAATCAAAAATCTAAATACATGGTTAGATTCAGCATATCAAAGAACCCCATATATTCAATTTTTGTTGAAATCAAACAAAGTTTAATTTTGGACCCCGATTTGGACCAACTTGAAAACTGGGCCCATAATCAAAAATCTAAATACATGTTTAGATTCAGCATATCAAAGAACCCTAAGAATTCAATTTTTGTTAAAATCAAACTAAGTTTAATTTTGGACCCTTTGGACCTTAATGTAGACCAATTTGAAAACGGAACCAAAAATTAAGAATCTAAATACACGGTTAGATTCGGCATATCAAAGAACCCCAATAATTCAATTTTTGATGAAATCAAACAAAGTTTAATTTTGGACCCTTTTGACCTCAATGTGGACAAAGTTGATAACGGGGCCCAAAAATCAAAAATCTAAATACATGGTTAGATTCAGCATATCAAAGAACCCCATATATTCAATTTTTGTTGAAATCAAACAAAGTTTAATTTTGGACCCCGATTTGGACCAACTTGAAAACTGGGCCCATAATCAAAAATCTAAATACATGTTTAGATTCAGCATATCAAAGAACCCTAAGAATTCAATTTTTGTTAAAATCAAACTAAGTTTAATTTTGGACCCTTTGGACCTTAATGTAGACCAATTTGAAAACGGAACCAAAAATTAAGAATCTAAATACACGGTTAGATTCGGCATATCAAAGAACCCCAATAATTCAATTTTTGATGAAATCAAACAAAGTTTAATTTTGGACCCTTTTGACCTCAATGTGGACAAAGTTGATAACGGGGCCCAAAAATCAAAAATCTAAATACATGGTTAGATTCAGCATATCAAAGAACCCCATATATTCAATTTTTGTTGAAATCAAACAAAGTTTAATTTTGGACCCCGATTTGGACCAACTTGAAAACTGGGCCCATAATCAAAAATCTAAATACATGTTTAGATTCAGCATATCAAAGAACCCAAAGAATTCAATTTTTGTTAAAATCAAACTAAGTTTAATTTTGGACCCTTTGGACCTTAATGTAGACCAATTTGAAAACGGAACCAAAATTTAAGAATCTAAATACACAGTTAGATTCGGCATATCAAAGAACCCCAATAATTCAATTTTTGATGAAATCAAACAAAGTTTAATTTTGGACCCTTTGGACCTCAATGTGGACCAATTTAAAAACGGGGCCCAAAATCCAAAAACTAAATACACGATTAGATTCAGCATATTAAAGAACCCCATGAAATCAAGAATAAAACCCCATTGAAATTGGTCAAGAAATAAGCAATTTATAGGAAGTATCTTCTTTTGCACAATCCTGTGCTATTAAATATTTCTTGCTATTGCGCAATACTGTACAATTGACAATTTCTTGCTATTGCGCAATATTGTGCTATTGGATATTTCTTGCTATTGCGCAATACTGTGCAATTGAAGATTTCTTGCTATTGCGCAATACTGTGCAATTGAAGATTTCTTGCTATTGTGCAATACTGTGCAATTGAAAATTTCTTGCTATTGCACAATACTTATTATATAATAATTTACACATCCTGTTTGGTGTGTATCTCCTACCATATCATTATTATTTGATTTTAAATTTAAATCAGAAATAACCAACTTAAAATGGAAAATTTTAAAAGAAACAAAAAAGGAAAAAAAGAAAAAAAAAATAAATCCCCCCCCCCCCAAAATTTTTTGAACCCCCATTATGATTCATCACCCCCAAACTCAATCCCAGCCTTCCCTTTGTGGTATGGTACCTTGCAGTACAATTTCAGAGAGATCAATACACTTGAACACAAGTTATTGTCTGGAAACTAGAAAAAAATGTGTTTTTTGGCCCCTTTTTGGCCCCAAATTCCTAAACATTTAGGGCAATTACCCCCAAACTCAAACCCAGCTTTCCCTTTGTGATATGGAACCTTGTAGTACAATTTCAGAAAGATCCATACACTTACACACAAGTTATTGTCATGAAACTAGAAAAATGCTTGTTTTTTGCCCCTTTTTGGCCCCTAATTCCTAAAATTTGGAGGCAATTACCCCCAAAATCAATCCCAGCATTCCTTTAGTGATATGGAACCTTGTGGTACAATGTCAGAGAGATCCATACACTAACACACAAGTTATGTCTGGAAGTTACAAAAATGCTTATTTTTGGCCCCTTTTTGGCCCCTAATTCCTTTACTGTTATTACCATAACCCCCAAAATCAATCCCAACCTTCCTTTTGTGGTATTGAACCTTGTGGTAAAATTTCATAAAGATCCATTCACTTAAACTAAAGTTAGAGTGCGAAAACCAATGTGTCTTCGGACGACGCCGGACGACGCCAGACGACGACGACGACGACGACGACGACGACGCCGGACGACGACGACGCCAACGTCATACCAATATACGACCACAAAAATTTTTTTGCGGTCGTATAAAAATCAAACCTTTAAGAAATGCATTCTAAAAAAATAAACTAAATAAATGGGGATGGACACAGATGCTGCCCCCGCTTGCATATAATGTTATAAAGGGACACAATTCAAGAACTGTAAAAGTGACGCTACCCAAATTTGTACTTGCTCTGAGTTTTGTGGTAATTAGCATTGTGTATACGTTTGATAACATTTAGTTGAGGAAAACTTAAGCTAGACAACCGGAACAAAAAATCCAGCAATTTTTCCATTTGTAAAGGGCATAACTCTAGAACGGTAAAAAATGACGCCATCAAAGTTTAAACTTGATCTGTGTTTTGTAGTAATAAGTATTGTGTATAAGTTTCATAACATTTGGTTGAGGAAAATTAAAGTTAGAGAAAGGAAACAAAAAAATAAGCATTTTTTTCCATTTGTAAAGGGGCATAACTCTAGAACGGCAAAAGTGACGCCATCAATATTCAAACTTGGTCTGTGTTTTGTAGTAAAAAACATTGTGTATAAGTTCCATAAAGTTTGGTTGAGGCAAACTAAAGTTAGAGAACGGAAACAAAAAAAATTATCAATTTTTCCATTTGTAAAGGGGCATAACTCTAGAACGGTTAAAATGACGCCACCAAAATTCAACCTTGGTCTATGTTTTGTGGTAATAAGCATTGTGTATAAGTTTCATAACATTAAGTTGAGGCAAACTAAAGTTAGAGAACAGGAAACAAAAACTTCAGCAATTTTTCCATTTGTAAAGGGGTATAACTCAAGAATGGCAGGAGTGACGCCACCAAAATTCAAATTTGATCTGTGTTTTGTGGTAATAAGCATTGTGTATAAGTTTCATAACATTTGGTTGAGGCAAACTAAAGTTAGAGAACGGAAACAAATTATGGGACGTTCTTACGGACGTACAGACATGCAAGGATAAAAAACTTATAGACCCCTCCGCTACGGCGGGAGCATACACATTTGAAAATAAATCTTTATAAGTCTGTTGCCGATGAAAAAAAGCAATATCTAGAAGCATTGAATTATATTTAACAAGAACTTATCCATAGTACACGGATGCCCCATCGCACTATCATTTTCTATGTTCAGTGGACCATGAAATTGGGGTCAAAAATCTAATTTGGCATTTAAATTAGAAAGATCAAATCATAGGGAACATGTGTACGAAGTTTAAGTTGATTGGACTTCAACTTCATCAAAAACTACCTTGACCAAAAACTTTAACCTGAAGCGGGACAGACGGACGGACGAACGAACGGACGAACGGACGTACAGACCAGGAAACATAATGCCCCTCTACTATCGTAGGTGGG